TTGTGAGGTCCCCCAAGGCCCAGGGCAAGAGTTGTGGGTGTGGGCCACGCGGCCAGAGGGGCAAGAAGCAAACCCCCCGTGGGACCCGACCGTCCCTAGCGGGTGTCCCCGTCCGCCCACCTGGCCGCCAGCCCGGCCCTGCTCCCCACTCTGGCGCCCCTCGGGCACAAGAAACACAAGCACCGCGCCAAGGAGAGCCAGCCGGGGTGCCGGGGCCTGCAGGCGCCGCTGGCCGTGGGCGGCCCCGTCGTGGGGCGGGACCACGTGAGGGAGCTGCCCGCCGTGGTGGTGTACGAGAGCCCGGCCGGCCAGGCGGTCCAGAGACACGAGCATCACCACCACCACGAGCACCACCACCATTACCACCACTTCTACCAGACATAGAGCCCCGCCCCCTGCCCCGCCCCCGCCATATGAAGGACCCCTCCCCCTGCCCCAAGGCATTATTATTCTATTAATTATTGTTATTATGACGATTATTGTTATTAATAATTATTGTTACTCCACTAATATTCAGCTAGCCTCCATGTAGAAGATATATGGAAACACAGAACTAAACTTTTATTTATATATTGTGGGGACTGCATAACTTACCCAAGAAGGGACTCTGGGTCTGGAAGTGGCCTGTAGCGGCAGAGGCTCCCTGGGGATCTGGAGCTGCCGGGTCTACGAAGGACATCCCACACCCATCCCAGCCCCCGGGAGCCCTTGGCCAGAGCTCTGCCCCACCCCGGTCTCTTCCAAAAGAACACCCTTACCTGGCCTGGCTTCCAGAGACCCTCGAAATCTCCGAGAAGATAAACAGCTGCTACCTCTTAGTATTATTCGGATTTTATTTTGCCCTTAACTGATTGTAATGTGCTACAAGGGATTTCAGCGGACTGCAGACGTGCGACCTTCCCAGCTGTTGTGTTTTTATGTCCCAGCCTAGAAACCTTAGCTGTCCTTTCTGGAGTTACCTTTCACGCATTTCCAGTGGGATCATGCCCTCCCCCCAAACCACTCCCATCTTCTCTGCCATGTGCCACATGAAAATACACCTGTCTCCTTTCTCTCCTCCTCCTCCTCTCTTCTTTAGAAAGATACACACACATGTTTGAAGACTACCCCCTGAAACCAGCCTTCACATTTTGGAAACCTCCAGAGAGGGAACCAACCACATAAACAAGCGTGGTTTTCCAAGATTGGGCAATTGTGTGCTGTTGGTTGTGACCGAAGATGTGGAAACCTCGGGTCCTACCGTTGGCAAATATAGATGTACCTACGTGGTTCTCTAACAGAGCTTCCTGTATCTATAGGTAGATGCCGTCAGTCCGTTTCTATGTATCTTTCTATAAATATACACTCTCAGGTACCTTTTCTGGTGTGCAGAAATCGGTGGTTTGCTTCTCTAGATACATCCTGAGCCCAGACATGACCCTGCATGCCTCCTGTGGGGGCCCCTGTCCATTAGGTGCCAGTAGCCACTTGCTTGTCATTGGGGGTCCTTTCTTGAGGTTTGGGATCTGGCAGATTTGGGAGAAGCCTGTTGGAGTACAGAAACTTGGAGGGAAATGGGGACAGTGGCCAGAGTTTGGATCCTGAAGCAGTGTCCTCTGCAGAGCAGGGTTTTGTTTGATAGAGACCTGGGGAGGCCAGGAAAAGGACCCCTGTCAACCAGTCAAAGGCCCGGTGAAAAACTGACGCCACACATGTTATAACTGGGTACTTTGGGGTGAGTTGAATAAAGGGAATATTTACAATGTGTGGGCAAATCCTCTTGAAAGAGTGCAGGGTTCTGGGCTGGCACTATGGGTGCCGCCCCCACCCCTGGAGTCAGGGGTGGGGTGGGAGGGAGTCATCCTCAGCAGACATGGGGATGGGGCCACCTGGAGGAGCCATGATCTTCACTCAGCGGATGCAGCCAGCCTGTGGGGACCCTACAGGGAAGTGGCTTCCTGCCCTCACTCCCCTGCCTGCCCGTATCCTGCTGAGGCCCCCTTGGCTGAAGCCACTGGGAGCCTGAGACCAAGGGAGCTGTTGACGAGGGCCACATCGGCATTCTTCCAGGGCAGAGGCAAGTGGAGGGTGAATCTGGAGAGACACAGGAAGAAAAAGCGGCTCCAGCTGCCTGTCTTTCTGCTGCTTGGTCTCCCAGCTGGCACCCCCTTTTCCAGAGCCTCAGGTGTTGGTTTAATGTGGTTGGTAAGGAGTCATTTTTAAAGATAGTAAAAATTAGTTATTGTCACTGTAGTATTAATTTTATTAGTTACTGGTGTGCCTGGGACTGGATTGGAACAGTTAATCCTGACAACAACCCTGAGGTAGCCAGTAGAAATGCGGGGAGCACATCAGGCTCAGAGAGGTTGATTAACAGTCTTGAGACCACACAGTAGGAGACAGATGTGGGATTCTAGTCTTCCTTAACCACTGGATTTGGGCTTCCCTTGTTTTGAGTTATGGGCTTCTGTCCATCAGGAACCACCTCAGACTGATAGGAATGTAACCAAGCCAGGGAAGGTGGGGAGGGACTTTGAGATCCAGGAGGTGAATGAAGCTGAGCTCGCCCTTCATGGATTTATCCTTCTACTCCGACGTGCTTTGCCATAGTGTGGGGACTACTGGCACTCTGGGCCACACCACCAGATGGAGATAGATCTTCCACTAGGACAAGCCCAGGGAAGGATTCTGATCGGCTGGGCGTGGATCCAGTACCCATCCCCGGACCAATCACTATGGCCCACCTGGAGAGTCACATGTCCAACCTGTGGATATGGGGTAGAGTCTGTGCCAGAAGAAGGGAGAGGAGGGGCACTGAGCAGACGGATGGCGCCCCAGGCCCAGAATTGCTGCAACCATGGAAACAGGCCAGGCATTGGATCCATGCTGGGAGCCTCTCTATGGCCTGGTGGGCTTAGAGCAGTTCCTCAGCCTCTGAGAGGAGGTCCCTGCGTCTCCCTGAGCCCAGTCCTGTCAAAGTTCTGTTACTTCCTGGTGACTGAAACTGACCTAACTTTAAAAAGATAATAGCATGTGCACATGTAGAATATTCAAATACTGCACAAAGGTGTGCAGGAAGATGTACGCTTCCCTCCCACCTCCCCAACTCCAGTTCCCCGGTGCCTTCTGGGACTTCAGTGCGGTGCAGAAGCTGGTGGTACCCGGCTGCCTGGGTTCAAATCCCGATTCCCTCCCTTAGGAGCTTTATGTACCTCTCAAGTCTCAGTTTCCCCTTTATAAAGGGGGATCATAAGAGTCCATCCCATAGGGTTCTTGTGAGAATTCGGTGAGTTAAAATGGGGTGGGCCCACAGGAGCTCCATGAAAGTGTCGCTCCCATTTTTCACAAGAATAAATACATTTATATGAGATTGCTCCCTGTTTAAATTCTGTTAATTTTTTAAAAAGACTTTTTCAGAGCAGTTTTAGAATCATGACAAAGTTGAGAAGGTGCGGAGATTTCCCATATACCCCCTGCCCCTATGCGTGCATCACAGCCCCATCCCCCATTATCAACATCACTCAACCAAGGGTATGTTTTCACCAAGGATGATTCTATATTGAGACATCGTAGTCACCTAAAGTTCATAGTTTACCTTGGGGCTCACTCTTGGTGTTGTATATTCAATGGATTTGGACAATGTATAATGACCCGTATCCATCACTATAATATTGTAGACTATTTTCACTGCCCTAAAAATGCTCCATGCTCTGCCTATTCATCTCTCTCCTACCCCCAATTTTTTTGTTGCTTTTTTTTTGTGTGTGTGTGGGTGGTAATTTTGTTTGTTTGTTTGTTTGTTTATTTATTTATTTTTTTTAGTGGAGATACTGGGGATTGAACCCAGGACCTTGTGCATGCTAAGCATGCGCTCTACCACTGAGCTGTAAGCTCCCCCCCAATTTTGTTATTTTTAAAAACATTTCTAACAAAGTTTGAAACAGAAAACAGTGTAACCGTAACTGAAACTCACCACCCAGATTTTACAAATGCTGACATTTTGCAATATTTATTTCAGACCTATTTTTAAGAAAGAAAACACTGCAGTGACTGTTTAATCCTCTTCCACCCCACCCTTTTATTTTTACCCCAGGAGTAGCATAGTATTCATGCTTAGGTCCTTTTTCTCTGTGACCTAATGTATTTGGAGATTTCCCCGCCTTGGTTCCAGAGCTCTGCCGCCTCTTCTCTAACAGCTGCTCAGTCTTCTCTTGCTCCGAGGTGCTGTCGTGGGCTTGCCCAGCCCCTCCAGCAGGCACTTGGGTCTCATCCTAGGCCGTGACACATCCTCGTGCCTGGCTTTCTCGGTGCCCACCAGCTGGGGCCCTGGCTGGCAACAGAGTGCCATTGTGGAACTGCTGAGTTCAAGAACATGAGTGGTTTCAGTTTTGATGCAATTTGTAAATGACCTCCAAGTAACTGAAAGTTGAAGGAAGAAGGGAGAGAAAAGGAAGGGAAGGAGGAAGGGGGTAGGAAGGAAGGAAAGAAGGGAGAAGGGATCAACCATGCTCCTTGGTGAGGTTTTGAGCACATTTCCCTGCAAGCTGGCGGGGGTGAGTGTTACCTTGTGTGCAAATCTGATCCCTGTTGCAGAATAGCTGCTCTTCTTCCCCAGAACCTGAGCCCTAAGCGCTGGGGCCCCCCTGGGAGCTGGAGACCCGACTCCTGTCTCTGCCGGCCTCACCCACACGTGCACACAACCACCGGCTGGTCGCTAGGATGCCTGGTTCTGCTGACCTGTCACCAGCCCTGAGGACGTCTGGTTAGGGCAGCTGCTGGATGAGGCTCTCATCGCCCAGGGAGCACTGGGTGGTGGTGGGGGACCCCGAGGGGCCAGTGCACCTCACACCCAGCTGTGCCAATTACACATTCTGGCAAAGGAAACAGCCAGGAGCAGTTTCTTTTACTCCCCCTCCCCCGACGTTTTTCTCAGTGTTTAGATGTCAAATCATTACTGGGCCAGAGGGAAGGCAACCTCGGAGGTGGCAGGAGGAGGGGAAGGCTGCCTGCACTAATAACCTGGCTTCTGTGAGGCCTGTCACACTCTCGGGAATGAGAGGGGACCCCCTGAGCTGTGCTCGGTGCTTCGGGCTGTGGCGCCCCGCCCCCACCGCCCTCACCTCCTCATTGAAGTTAGGACTTCACCCAGCGCAGACCAGGGAGTTCAGGCCCAGAAGACCCCAAGGCAGCCTTGCCCCGTGTCCAGCCCAATCCCAGCATCCGCCTCCCGCCCCAGCCTTTGCTCCTGAAGGGCGTCGCCCTTTCTCCCGACGTGTGCGTGACTGTTTTGCTGAATCCATGCAGGTGATTTTGCCAAACGCTTTATTGACTCCTAAAAGTTGTACCAAGGGCTCCCTTCTCCAGTCATTCAAGTTTTATCGCTTCCTACAGTCGTGCCCCTTGTTTGGAGTTCTGATCTGGTTCTTGGTCCTGTCCCTATGGCCCAAACCAGCAGATCTCTGAACCCCACCCCTCTTCTCAGGAACTCATGCCCTTGAATGGTTTTTACTGATTAATGTCCCTGCAAAGGGCTTTCTGCACCCAGCATCTTATTTTAGAAGGAGAAGGGGGAATGGGAGCAAGACCCATCTTCTAGTGGCAGGAGGCTACCCCTGAAGAGGAGGAAATGGCAGAGGCTGACTGACTCCCCATCTCCCATTGACCGCCCCATGGTTTTCCTCTCCCCTCCACTTTATCCCCGCAAAGTGGGAGAATTGTGGTGCGTCCAGTCCATGAGCCTGGCAGAGACAAGAGGGTTTCTACCTCGACAGGAGCCCCTCTAGACTTGACTTTGGCATAGAATTGCTGTGCGTGGGGGCTGGAGGTGGGGAAAGTGGAATGCTCCCAGCCAGCAATGCTCATCCTATAAATGCTTCAGAATTACCTGGGGGGATTTTTAAAAATACCAGTGCCTGGGGCCCTGCCTCTGATGGTGCTGATTCCCTGGTCTGGGCGTCAAGATGTTCCAAACTCCCCTGCAGCCAGGGTAAGAACCCAGAGCCTTTCCCTGGATGACCTCAGAGGGCTCCTTTGAGAGCAATACCTTACTTCAGGGGCCATAAGAATCTCCCAGGGAGTACATTAAATGCAGCGATCCAGGCCCACCCCCAGAGAGTGAGATTACATGGGCCCGGGGCTACGAGCAGAAATGATCAGACTAAGTGAAGTCAAACAGAGAAAGACAAATATCACGATACCACTTAAATGTGGAATCTGAAAAGAGTGAGACAAGTGAACTTATTCACAAAACAGAAACAGACTCACAGACAGAAAACAAACTTATGGGTTACCAAAGGGGAAGGCAGGGGAAGATAAATTAGGAGTTTGGGATTAATGGGTACAAACTACTGTATACAGAAGAGATAAACAATAAAGTCCCATGTTAACAGCACAGGGAACTATATTCAATACCTTATAACAACCTATAATAAAGAATATACATATATATATATATACACACACACACACATATATATATATGACTGAATCACTATGCTGTACACCAAAAACTAATATAACATTGTAAATAAACTAAACTTTAAGCAAAAAAAAATGCAGTTGACCCTCAAACAACACAGATTTAAACTGCATGGTTCCACTTACAAGCAGATTTTTTTCATCAACACGTGCTACACCATCCAGGGATGCGGAACCTCGGATGCAAAGGGTCAACTCTAAAGTTATTCTCAGATTTTCAACTGGGGAAGCAGGGAAGTTCCCCCCTGCCCCTGCCCACCAAAAAACCCCTCTGCATGACTCAAGGGTCAACTGTAACTGTTTTCTAGATATTTCTCATCACAAAATTCTGAGTAAGTTAATCAAAGGTGAACTTCTCTTGTTTTTTTTTTTTTTTTTTTTTATTTCAACAAGGCCTCATTTACTGGAGCCAGCTGGGCTGGTACCCAGGCGAAGGGGCAGCCAGCCTTGCTCATCAGCATCTGGGTGTGTTTGCCACCTTCCTCCTAGTTGTAATGGCCCTGCCGGCCGGCCAGGGCTTCTTCAGCATTGCTGGTTCCTCAGAGTGGGCACGTCGGCGGTGGTCAGTACACGGAAAAGAGGGAGTGAGAGATAAAGAAGACTGAGGGGTCACATCCCTTACTGGCTGGAGGATTCATGGCCTCCTCTTGCCTGTGAGTCCCTGACTGCGGAGTTTTACAAAGCAGTGACATTTCAAATGAAAAGCTGGCAAAGCAACGCGGTGGCATCAACTTTTAATTTTGCTGACTAAGAATGTTAAAAAAAAAAAAGGAAGGAAGGAAAGAAAACTGTAGTCTCTTGCTGTTTAAAGAAAAACAAACCAAAAAGAGAAAAAACAAAAGACATAATTCAGACCTCTTTAAAAAGAAAAAACTCTAACTGCGTTGTTTTTTCTCCCCCCTCCACCCTGCCCTGGTAGAAACCAGTGAAAATTTGTCCAAATGCTCATATTCGTGAGTAGCTATTGAAGTCAGGCAGGAGTTACTCTTCCCATTTTAGAGACACGAGAACAGAGACTGGAGAAGGGGGTGGGGAATTGCCATCCGTGATGACACTTCTTCCCGAAGCTGAGCCCAGACCCTGTTTCCAGTCTGAAGCCTCAGCTGCCCTCTGGGGGATAAGGGGACAGGCCGGCATCTATGATACCTGGAGAAGTGGCTTTCCATGGCCTGGGTCACTGGCCAGTGACTCTGCAGAGGCTGTTGTGACCATCCTGCCCGTGTCAGCAGGGCCCCGCTGCAGCCAGCCTGCCTGTCGTGGCCAGCCCAGCAGTGGGGACCAAGCTGCGCTTCCCAGCCTGTGATGGAGGGGGTGGGGTGGGTGAGCCAGGTCGGTGAGAAGCAGGCTCCCTGAGGACGCTCCTCCCCTTCCCTTCCCGTCCCCTGCCTGCTCTGAGACTCCCAGGGTCCTCCTTCTGATCCTGAGTCCTACCCAGCATGGTCCACCTACATGTCGTGTTTGACCCATCTGGGGATTCAAAAAATTAATTTCCAAAACGTGAACGTTTCACCTAAAAATCTGGATTTGGGGCTTTTCTCATAAAAATCGAAGAATGTGATTTCACCAGGCCTGCCATTGGCAGGAGCTGAGTGTCCACCCCTCAGATGCCATGTGAGCTCACGCTCTCCAGGACCCCAGTGTACTCTCAGTCTGGTGCCCATGTGCCTTCCCTGGTTGGCTCCCGTGGCATCTCAGCTCAGGACCCCAAATATGCTCAGGTGCCTAACTTTGGGGGTCCCCTGTGCCATTAAACCCGGGCCTGCTCAAGGCAGAGTCTTACAGGGAAGGTTGCTAACGGGGTGTTTCAGCTGTGGGAGGACTTCCGTAGGGAGGTCTTTGGGGCCAGTCCTGGAGACCCTCACTCACCACACCACTCATTCCTCCTTGGGGTGGGCGGGGCTCTCTCGGGAATGTCCGCCTGTGTGAGACCCTACCGACATCCCTTACAGAGACAAAGCGGAAGGGGCCCCACTCAAAGGGCTTGGCTGGACACCATCTGGCTCTGCTAGCTGAGCTGCTGAGCGCAGGCCCGTGACCTCACCTCTCAGAGGCTCAGTTTGCTTTGCTGTCAAGTGGGCCTAATGAGGCTTGTTTTGCTGCAGCTCCTGGGTCTTTGGAGATGTAAGATGTAAGGTGAAAAACGCAAGAGGAGATTCTTCCACGTGGAGTCCCCTGAACAATTACATACCTCCCAACACACCCCCGCCAGTGACTCCTGTCCCTCTGGGCTGCTTCTCATGGCTCAGCTTAGAGTTTGGCCCTTCCCCTCTGCAGACTTGGGCAGATGTGGTTCCAAATTCTCTGGACCCGCTGTCCTGAATCCTGCACGTCTGGCTTGGTGGATGGAGTTGGAGGAAGTGACCGGATGTGGTAGCCAGACCACAGAACGCAGGCTTGGCGCCTCGCTCCGAAGGGCAGAACGTGGGAGGCGGGCAGACCTAAACTGAGTCCTGATCCTGCTACTTCCTAGCTGTGCCACCTTGGACAAGTGACCCTGCCTCTGTGCCTCTGTTTCCTTCTCTGTTCCAGGGGACTAAACAGAGAACCCACCTCACTGGGCTGTTATGAGGATCAGATTAAATGATCTGACAGGCTGAAGCCTTCAGCTCGGAGTCTGGCACAGAGTAGGCCCTTGGGAAATGGCAGCTGCTGTTAGGAGACTCTGACCCCATAGGACCTGCGGGGAAGGAGGTGCAGTTGACAAAGAGCCCCTGCAGGTCAGCAACTGCCATGTGTCCCCTCCACGGCACATGAGGGCCATTCCACCTACCCTGTTGCTTTTCTCCTCCGTGTTCGATGAGTTCATCCCATTACAGACCCGATCTTCACTGTGAACTTGGGCAAGCCCCAGACCTCTCTGGGCCTTAAATTCCGAGCGTGCATGATAAGCTTTGTGGCACCAGCTCCACACCCTAATAGGATATGGCAGTGGTGGGACTGGTGGCCTAAGAGCCAAGCCCAGCAGCTCCACCCTGCTCAAGGTGAGGGAGGGGAGCCTCAGGGGTGGTCCTTGGCTGCCTTGCCTCGAGGACTCTCCTTGTCCTCCAGGAGTCCGGCCAAGCCCCTGGAACCAGGCCCTGAGCCCTAGGATTGCTGAGGCGTCTAAATGGCTATATTGACCACTTATGGAGCACCTATTATATGCTCAGCCTGCATTCGCTGACGTCCTTAGGACACCCTCGTGAGGAAGCCAATGAGGAAACTGAGTTATTGTTCAGCTAAGTGACTTATCAAGGTCACGGTGAATGTGTGGCCGGGTTGAATGTAGTGTGACACCTGTCCATGGGGACAAGCTGTTAGTCACTCAGCTGCCCCCTTCCAGGAGCCTGTGGGCATTGACAAAGATTAGCAAAGACCAGTCCTGCCCTCTCCTCTGCGGTCACCCCAGCCAAGTCCAGAGAAATGTGAGTGAAGGGAAGTTCTGGGAGGTGGGGCTGCTGGCCTGGCCTGAGCCCCTGGCTGCAGCAAGATGGTGCCCAGTGTCTCCAGGTGCCCTGTCAGTCCCCTTCATTCATAGCTCTGATCATGTTTGTAATTAGAGCTGAGTCTTGTTATTCGTGGTAGTTAACGCTCTTTAAAGTCATCGCCAACGCTGATTTAGCCAGTACCAAACCACTGGTCTTAGGGGAAACAGAGTTAGATTCCTGGGGACCTCTGGTCACATTTCCAGCAACCAATCAATACATAACCTTGTTTTGTGTGTGTTTCTGTTTAAAGACACTTGATTTGTTCTATATTGTTGATTTGCTAACATTGAACTCATGGCCAACAACCATTGTAACCCACGCCTGAACGAAGCTTGTCTAACACATACAATTTCCTCGTAGGAACACTACACGGCCCCTCAGCCACTGCTAACACGAAGCACAAAAATGCAAAAAGCACAGTGCTGAAAAGAGCCTGGAAAGAAGACTTGTTTATAATATGAGAGCTGAAACAGAAGGGCAGATTGTAGCTTTGTTTGATGTCAGCTGAGAAAACACACGTCAAGTGGCTCAAATGCTTTGCTGCTCATGACCGCAAATGACCATGAAAGCACCGTGAGTATCGATTTTGAAGTTACAAATAAATTTGAGTGAGGAGGCGCATTCATATAGAATCTGTGAATAATCAGGATCAACTGTATAAGCTTGTTTGTGTCTCTGATTATTTGGTTAACATCTGTTTCCACTAAAGCGCTATCTCGTTCCCCAAAGATTATTTTGTAATCCCAAAGGCCCAGCAAAGATAGGTGCTTGTTAAATATCTGCTGAGCGACTGAACGATGGCACGTTCCTGGCCTCCCTACCCGGCCCCACGCCAGACCCAGCATGTGGCCGGCTCTCGACACTCAACACATCTCTGTTGATTGGATTCGTAAGGACAACCAGGCAGGGGACACCCTTTCACAAGGTCCTGTTCAGGCTCCCTGACATGTTGATTCTGCCTCTAGGAAAGGGTAGCAGTCTTGCGACAGATGAAACCCAGGAATGTGCTGAAGATACTCTGGGTGGCACAGAGCAAAGGGACAGCATTTCAGGGCTCAGCTTGTGAGCTCCCTGCACAGACCAGAGGGGACCTGATTGAGGTTGAGGCTGGGAGAGGGCCTCTCCAGGAAGCAACACTTAGATGGAGACCTCAAGGATGAGGAGGAATTCACCAGGTGAAAAGCTAGCGACAACAGCTTGTGCAAAGGCCCTGAGGTGGGAGAGAGGGTAAGCCATTGGACAAATGGATGGAAGCCAGTGCAGCTGAGCACAGACAGCAAGGGGGAGGCCCAGGGTGGACTTGGCCCGGGGGGGACCATGGTGGAGAGTTTGCTTACAACTCTGAAGAAACAACAATAAGTTGGAGGGTCAATGGGGAGGGGCGGTTGGGTGTGGGGGACAGAATGTGACCATCTGGCCACTTAATGGAGAAGGGACTGGAAACAGCAGCCCGGAGAGAAGGCTCTCATCGTAGGACACAACGGCGCCTGTTGGATGCAAGATGCTTATGACATTCTCACCTGCGAAGGTGCTGAGGATCCACTGGTTTGTCTACACCCGGCATCAGCAATGCCTTTCCTGTTGTTGAACAGCATCTTTTTAAGTGAGGGAAAGAACAAAAAGTAAAGTTGGAGAGAATGAGACGGCAGAGACAGAGAGAAGGGAGAGGGAGAGGCCTCCCTTCCCTCTGGTAATTGCTGAATTGGCGCTCGCGAAGGCAGAAAACGAATGGCTGACTGATGTCCCTCTGCCGGGAGAGGGGGAAGAAGGGAGGCATGATATTGACTTAAACGTGGGGGATTTAAAAGGCCCCTATGTTCCCACTTTGTGCTTTGCTTCTAACAGACAGCCTGGGACCTTTGAAGTCGGTCTGGCCCAGTGGGGAGCGGGCTTCTGTGGAGACAAGATGCTAACAGGGGCGGGGGGAAGGGGGCCAGGGGGCGGCCGAAACTCTATTAGGCATGCTCTAGCAAAAGAAAGGCAAATCCAATGATAATGTACATCTGTTTCAGGGAATTTATAAGCTTTGAACATTTTTTATGGGCAGATAAGTGGGTCCTTTTCTTACCATAACTTAGAACTTCAAAGCTGAGTGTGTGGATAATGCAAATTGCTGAAATATGAGATTTTCCCTACAAAGAGGTTTCCAAAGAAGACGAGGAAGGAAAAAGAGAGAGAGAGAGAGAACGAAGGCTAATTGATGCCACAGTCTTTTATGTAGACGGCAAAAATGGGACAGAAATTGATTTTTATGAAATAAGAAATTGATGGGAGAGATAAGGAGAGGAGGAGGAGGAGGAGGCCACGAGGCAGGTTGGGGACTGAGACTGGGGCCAGGCAGGTCGGCCTGGGCTGTGGGTCAGCCCTGGGGAAACACAGCCCCTCCCTCTAAGAAGCCTCACCCTTAATGGGAAAGATGAGACGAATGGACACAAGGACACTTGGGAGCCATTCAAGGCAATGTCAGCCCAGAGGATGGTCCATCCAAAATCCAAGGGGGCTTAGTGTATGGGTGGAGCTTGGAGGCCTGGGGAAATCAGGAAAGGCTTCCTGGAGGAGAGTGGCTCTATGGGGCAGGCATGATGTGGGGTGGGGGTGGGGATGGGGATGTGGAGGGTATAGGGGGATGGGATTCTAGATGTCAAAACAGATGAATCAGGGGGGCCCGGGTTATGCCTCTGCCACCCCCCAACCCCGACCACACTCAGTCCTCTGTGTTTTTCTTGTCTCCCCCAACCCCACCCCCACCCCCACCCCCAGCAAGTAGCCTATGAGCTCCTGCAGGCAGGGACATAGTAAACACTCAATATACGCTTGCTGGATGAACGGATCAAGGAATGCATGGCAGGCAGGGTCAACCAGCTCTATCTTTTCACTATTTCACAACTACAGAGGAAGATTCAGACTGGAAGGGAAGGTGGGGGCCTTTTTTGGTCCTTGTGGTTGACCCCAATCTCCTTTCTGCCCCTAGGTGATTAGTCTAAGCCAATCTTTTTTTTTCTTACTATATTTTGGTTTTAGTATTTATAACATAACCAAATAAGAATTTTTAAGCTTGTAAAGTTATTCTTCTGGTATTATACATTTGGGTTTTTTTTCTTCTTTTTTTTTTTTTGATCTTCTTTTCTTCTCCCTCCTTCCCTACTCTCTTCCTTCTCTCTCTCTTCCTCCTCCTCTTCAACAAATTCACAGAAAGTAGGAGGCCTTCTTTATTAATTGTGTTCTTGGTCTAAGCCAGTTTTGGTAGTCATCCCCTTTGCAGTGATTGGCTCAGGGAAGGTCACATGACCCTATTCTGACCAATGTGTCCTGAAGGGAAGTCTGCTGAGGGGCTTGTGTGATGTAATGATGGTTACCATCTTGCCACCAGGCTGAGGACCACAGAGCACAGACACAGGGAGAACCCAGGTCCTGGAGGATGTCATTGAGCTACCACTCACGTAGTACCTGGCAGCTCCTCAGCATTTGCACTCCAGTGGTTTGGCTTTTCTCAGGAGAAGATCCTGAGATGAGGATTTGAGAGCAAGTGTTTATTTTGAGGTGCTTCTGGGAAGTGCTGGCAGGGCGTGAGGAGTGAGACAGGGAAGGGAGGCAACTGTGGACAACCAGAGCTTGCTACTGTGGGGAACCCATGTGGACTGCCCCTCAGAGTTACCTACCCACAGAGCAAAGGAGCTGGGGTATTGATCCTCCCATTCATACCAGTCATTAGTCGAGGGCAGCTCCAACTCTACTGTGCTAGCTGGCTACACAGAGCCTTCCACAAGGAGTCACGGGTGCTGGCAGTTGGAAAATGAACTAGCAGACACAGAAGTACTTCATCCAGGGGACTCAGGCCCAGGTGCTGGCGTTGTGTGCTCCTTGAGGTTTCTGTTGCTAACAGCATCTTAATCCATGCCAGGTGATCGTGGAGGGCCTCAAAGGAAAGGGGGAGGGGTTTGAACATTTTCCTGGGAATCCATGAGCAGCCATTCAAGGTTTTGGGGAGTGCCATAATGACAATGAGAACGAGGGTTGCGGGTGGTGTGGAAGGCACCTGGGACTTCTCTAAAGACACTGGGCATCTGCTTCTACCTGACATCCTGCCAGCATCTTAGCGGATTTCAGCACTCACCTGGATCCAATATCTAAATTTTGTAAACTAATCCCCTCCCGGAAACAACCTCCTTTTTCGCCTGTCTTCAGCCACCCACTTCTGAGTCCCACTGGGGACCCAGAAGTGCCCCACCTCAGAAGCCACAAAAACTATCACCTTTCTCTGTCCTCACTCCTGTCCTTCTCACAGTCCCTCCTGGTTCTTCCCAAGATACCAGCTTCCTTTCACTCCCTCATCTTCACTTCCTGCTTCCTCTACCACAGCCCGTGGTCTGGATTTCCACTATTCTCTGTCAAATACCCTCAACTCCTTCACCTCTGTCTTTCTATACACCCTCCATCCGCCATCTGCCAACTCTGGAAAAAGTAAAGAGCCCAGGATCAAGGGCTCTGGGTCAGACAGACAATTATCATTATATCCCCACCAACTTGTCCCTGACTTTTTTGTCCCTAAATCCAGTGGGAATTTCAGTTGCTACCTTCCTTGACTTCTTGGCTGTATTTCATGATAGTGACCATATCTTCCCTTTCAAAACACCCTTCACCCGTGGATTCTGTGCACAGGCTGCTAGTTGCTCCCCTGTGTCCATCCTCCCTTTCTTCTTGGTAATGGAGTCACTTGTTTTGAGTTCAAGAATAAAGACTACAGTTCTTAGTCTATTTTGCAAATAAATTCTAGTCAGTGTTATGTGCCATATGGCAGCTCCTGGGAATCTTCCTTAAGAGATTGCTTGTTCATTCCCATCATTTCTTTCATTCTTCAACCCTTCTTCCATTCTGCTGCCTGGAAAGCAAATGTGATGGCTGGAATTGCAGCCACCATTTTGGACCATGAGGGCAAGACCAATACCCCAGAGATAGTGGAGTGGCTGGAAGAAGCCTGTATTCCCAGTGGTTTAGAGGAACAGGGCTTCTATTCCAGACCTGGACATCTACATTTAGACTATTAAGTGCAGAGGAAACCAACTTCTCACTTGTTTAAACCGCTCTCACCTGCAGCCAAACTAAATCCTAAGTGAAATCGCTCTCCTGACATCAAGCTCTGTTGGATTGTCTCCAGCCTCTCTGAGCTGCTTTTAGCATCAGCTTTGCCTAATCCTCCTTTAAAAATTGCAGCATTGAAACTGGGTACACGGGACCTCCCTGTACTATCTTTGCAGAATCTAAGTATTTCAAAATAAAAAGGTTTTAAATGGTGGCATTGCTGTCATCTCAGTCCTGTCCCCCTTGTCCTCTCCATGGACCCACTTTCTGGGATCTCATTCACTGCCAGGGCCTCAGTGAACATCTCTAGGCTGTTGACAAGGAGTTCCAACTACATGCCCCCAAAACAAATTACCCCAAACTTGTTCTAAGGTCAGTAACGGACAAGACAATCCACCCAGTAGCTCAAGCCAGAAGCCTGGGTGTCCTTCTCGACTCCCCCCTCCCCCCTAATTCAATTACTGAAAACTTTTAGTTCTATATCCTCAAGAGATTCCACTTATACCCAACCCCACATCCCAGCTGCCATGACCCTGGTGGAGCCTGTCCGCTGTCCCCTGGCATGGTCACCTCCTCTTCTAATCTTACTCCCTCCCATCAGTCCCCAAGCTGCAGACAGAAAGTGCTTTTTCAAACACCAAGCTGACCATGACACTACCCTAGTGCAAACCCATCCTGTTGCCCTCGGGACAAGGACCCTGTCCCAGACCAGCAGACCAGGCCCTCAGTCAGCTGCCCCTGCCCATTTCCCGTCCCTTCCTGCCTCCCCTCTGCCCTGCCACATTGCACCCCCGGATGGTCCTTGAATGGGAGAGCCTTCTGCTTCCCCTTTCTTCCCAGAAGAGGCTGCTCCTTCTCCCTGCAAAGCCTATTCTTCACCCTGGGCTTAGCCAGGACTCCCCAAGTCAGAGCCTGAGACAAGGACGTGAGGCCAGATCATGTCTGAGTAGAGTGATGCCCGGAAGAGGAGTGAGGGAGCAGGAGAGTGAGATGCAAGGTGACAAGCTGACTTAAGGATGTGCTGCCAAGGCTGCCCCTGGAGGCGGTGGACCTCTGGGATGTGTACAGAGCGCTCCCAAGTGTCCACCTGCAGGACTAAAGGCTGCAGTGTTCACAGGTCCCAGCCTGGTGCTTCTCCGTGGATGTTGACTTCTCCTCACTTCCATGCTGTGTGCTTGCAAGCAGGCTCCTGGGGGACTGCAGACGGCCCTGGGAATTTGCAGGAAGACAAGGGACAGCAGAGAATGCAATTCTGCCTGGGTAACGTGAGTCTGTGCTTGCTGGGCTGGCCCCGGCAGCCCCAGCTGAGCTGCGCACGGCTGCAGGCCTGCGGTGCCTCTGCCCCACTCCTCCTGCAAGAACCGGCTCCTCCACCAAGTCCTCCCTGACCCCCAAGCCTGGAGCAGGTGCCCTTCCTGGGCCTCCTACACGTCCCCAAATCACAACAGCTTGTCTGTAAACTAAGGCATAAATGAGATGAGGTGAGATGGCTTAAAATAAGGCTGTGGAAACGAAGTTGGAGCAGAGGGAGTGAACTGTAGAGGTGACTTAGGTTTATAGAAAGACACTGCCCATTTAATCCTCATGACAACTTTATGAGGTAGGTTTTCTGTCACGTCCATTTTACAGATGGGGAAGGTAAGGCTGGGAGGTTATACAATTTTGCTAAGGCATTTGACCCAATCAGGTTGCAAAACTTGTGCTCTGTGACATTCTCTTCCTCTCTCTCTCTTGCCTTCCTGCCTCCCTTCTTTCCCTTAGCATCTCCTGACCATCCAAGATGCAGGGGCCACAGTGGGCATCACATCTGCTCCCATCTCATTGGTTGAAGCAGGTCACATGGCCAAGCCCAAAGGCAATGGAGCAGGAGAGCACCCTCCATGCTAAGGGAACGAGGAGAATGGAAATCCACGGGACGAAAGTGCCAGCTACCACACCTGCAGACAGGGTGAGGCCACTCTTGGGGGTTAGATAAGCTGCAGATTTTGCTGCCAACCTGCTCTGCAGTCTTAAAGAAATTATTTTTCCATTGCGGGTCTCAGTTTTCCCACCTATGCAATGGGGTTAGTAATACCATATGTGCTTGGCTAGTGTGACTGGAGCGGGTGGGTTCCATGGCGAGGACCAGGGCTACACACAGTGATTCAGAAGGTGACAACCCCAGTTTCCTCACTACATCACCCCCTACATATACACATATTGATTTAAATCCAGTTTGATCTGGCCTGGGGTCCAGCTGAACTAGGTTCCATGGTGGCAGCCACTCAAGCCTTACCTCCACCACTATCTCTTGGATGACACACCTGCTCAGACAGCCCAGTGTGATGCTCTAGAGGGCCGCAGTGGCTTCCAGCGGTGATGGAGGGTGGGGCTGGGGGTGAGGATGGGGTGGGGGTTGTTGAGCTGGCCCAGAGGACAGGCAGGTCTTCCCATAAACAGTCAGCCAAGAGTCACGTGCCGCCGCCAATGGGTGGCTTCAGATGCAGGGATTATGAAGAGAATACAATTTCCTGATAAAATAGAAGAAGCGATTAAGTTAATGAAGGATCGTTTTGCTGGTTTGAAAACGATAATTAATAGGCATTAATTGTATATTTAGAAGTCTAGCGTGGCGTGGCTCGGGAGCCGGCGTCAAACACAATGACACCATAAGCGCTGCGTAATGAAGAGGGGGCCCAGACGTTCCTCAAAGCCCATAACGAGAGCTTTGCGAGGGGCTGCTGTAATAACGGAAGATGCCACTCGCTGCTCTGCTCTTCCTTCAATGGCATCCTTTCTGAGATGATGCTTATCATTTGTACTTTCATCTTCAGTTAAACAGCATATGGCCCCGGCTGATTAAAACCCCCTCCTGGTTTTAATCAGCAACTCAGGATCAGGTTTCTAATGGTGGTGGCCTTGCTGGTCCCGTGGTAAGCTTTTCAATCATATCTAAGTCTGGAGAAAGGGCGGAGGGGGCTGAGGGGCTTGGCACTGACCCTGTCCATGGCCCGGGGGGCGGGAGAGCTGCTACGGCCCTTCTAGGACGACCTGAGCCAGGAGTCGGCTCCAGGGATGCCTCGGAGTTCAGGCTGGGCCGCCTCAAGTTGTTTTTCAGGGGACCACGTTGGCTCAAGGCCAGGCATGGCCAACCTTTGCTTTGGCTGGGAGGCTGGGCTCTCATACCCCCTCCTTATAGTTAAGTGTGAAAGCTTGAGGGAAACTCTGCAGGGGCCACTCACCCAGGGAGGTCTGAAGAGATCAGCGCCACTGAAGAGACTCGAACAGTGGGATCAGACTGATGGTGTTTGAATCCTCGTTGCGCTGCCTGTGGCTGTGAGGCTTCCCCAGTCTGAGACTCACTTTTCTCGCGGTGATAGGACAACTTCTGTTCCTCTTCTATTACTCCAACTACAGATGAGGAAATTGAGGCTCAGTCAAGGGTTGAGAGCCAACCAAACTTAGTCGATGAGTCAGGAAGGATGGTGATGCAGTCACAAAGGGGAGGGCACAGACATGGGGGCCTGGGGAAATTTGATGAGGGTCTGCTTGATCTTCTACCCCCGCCCCCACCCTCCTGAGCTCCTCAAGGACTGGGACCAAGCCTGTCCTTTCATGGTGGTGGACCCCCTGCTGTGCACGGCCTGGCTCTAAGTCATTCCTCAGTAGGTGTTTGGTGAGGGAAGGAGTGATCCCGAGGAGGTGGCAGAGTGGACCGCAGCTGAGGGTGTCTGACAGGTCTTCCGGAGTCTCCCAGCCCCCTTGCAGCTGCCCGGGGCCACAGGCTGGTTCTGGCCAATGGACAGAGTGCAAGTGGCCTGGCATTTGTGATCTCCTATGCATCCTAGTCTCCACCATGTCCCCAGACTGACAGCCTTCCCTCCCACTGATTCCAGGGGCTCCTTCCCAACTAGATAACTGGGGAGATGCATGAAATGCAAGTTTCCTGTGACAAGTCTTCTTCCTGGCCTCTAGGGCTGACTGGATATGGCTGTCCCTTTGTCCTATGAAGCACAGCTCCTCAGAGATTTGAAGGCAGCTATATAACCAGGACTCTTTTGGTTGCAAGTGACAGAATCCTTAACCTGGCTTAGCCTAAAAAAGGATAGATTGGCTCTTGAAAGATTCAAGAAATTGATCTAAGGCCTTCAGGCATGGCTGAATCTAGGTGCACAATCAATGTCATTATTTGCCCTCACTTACTCTTATCTAGCGCTTATTCTCCATCTCTCCTAGCTGCAAGGTGGAGGGTTAAGTGCCGAATGTGTGTCGAGATAAAGAAATGAGAGTTGGAGTGTCAGATGTTCCTGGTCCCTGCTGCCTCAGTCCCTGAACCTGTAAAATGGGACTTTCATGTTCAAGAAGTGTGATACAGGTTGCAGGAGTCACTGGGCTGGGAGGACGTTTGATCCATTCCTCTGGGCTGTCCCTTGGGTGGGAAGACACCCAGGCAGAGACAACCTCAGAGGTGTGACCCATCTCAGGAATGCTCCATGTGGTATCCTACTTGAGCAAGCCTCAGTTTCCATATTTGGACTGCACCCTCTAGCAGAAAGTCTTCAGTGTTAGTGTATGATGAGCCTGAAAGGGGCTGAAATTGCGTGGGGCATGGAGGAAATGGTATTTGTATCCTTGGGCATAGGGAGGGAGGTGCTTGAAGACACATGTTCAGTTGATAAGAGATGATCATGAAATAACCATCTTTTGTCACAATGTAAAGAAAAACCTCAACAGGTAAAGCAGAAAAGGGAGTTTATTGCTTTCGTATTCAGATGCGGTTTAATCTAGGAGCTTAAGATCATCAGGGGTCAGTGTTCACTTCTCCCCCCATCCTGGGGCTCCATTTCCTTAGTCCCTCTTGGCCAAACTCCCTGGCAACTCCAGGCTTGCATCCCTCCCCCATCAAGGGCAGCCCGAATTGCTGTCCTCTCTCCTAGTAGTCAATTGAATTGGAGCCCCAAGATTGCTTCTCTGTGGTTCTGATTGGCTCCCATGCTCACCACAAGACCAACTGCCAGGGCCAGGAGAATACAAGGTTCCACTCAGCCAGGTCTGAATCACACACACAGCCGAAAGCTGAGGCAGAGCCAACACCTCTTGAAAAAGTAGTGGAGGAAGGGTGGTTATTCTAAAGGAAAATTTGGGACGCATTGCCCAGGAGAAGGGGAAATGCATGCTGGGAGGCCCACCCAACTGATGTCAACCACTGGTGCCAATTATCAGCCTGCCTGAGGTCCTCTCCTCCATCCCTGCCTGTAGCCTGTACGTTTCTCTCTGCACTCACCCCCGGAATCCTAAAGGCCACCCAGCCCAAGACGCCCTGCAATGCTTCTCCCCTCAGGAGAAAGGAAGGGGGCGGCCACCACGTTCTCTCATTAGTCTCTCTGACATCTTTTGTCACCTATCAGGGGAACAAGCAAGTGCTTTGATCATGGCAAAAGGAGAAACAGTATTTAAAATGCGGCCTGTGAAGATTTGCTGAGCAGAAGGTGGGAAAGGCAGTCGGTGGCAGTTTTCAAAGCAGAAACATGATTTCCAGTCTCCAACTTGGCTTGTCGGAGGATTGTTAAGGAGGATTCGCCTGCAGCTTGGGTTATTAAACGGACCAGGAGCCCTGAGGTTGGGGAGGGGGTCCCCAGGGAACTTGGTGGAAGAGAGTTTCTGGGAGGAAAGCGCAACCCAGCCTTTGATTCATCATGAATCACAGTCCGTTAAGGCTGAATGGCCAGCTGGAGGAGAGCGCTGGGCAGGGAACCCAGAGACCTGGCCTCACCACCGGCCCTGCGTGGGGCTCCAGACACGCCCCCCCCCAACTCTGGGCCATTCTTTCAGGGTCTGGACCAGTATTCAGAATTCCTTCTTCTTTTTCTCAGGATCTCCTGCAATTTCCCCCATATCTACCTGGCCGTTATGCACAAAGATTCCCCTATTCCTAACTTAAATGCATTTAATTTAATAGGCACAATTTATATCACCAACACAAACAGGAAAAGAATGAAACAGTATCAGGTCCAGAGGAAGAGAAGTAACCATAAAAATAAATACAGGGAAAAGCAACACATCATTAAATTCGAGCTAGACACTCTTGCCCACAGGACGTGATAAGAGAAGAGAGCCCCCTCTTTGTTAAAGGCAAAGGCTGGCAAGAGTAGGGGAGGGGGAGGGGAGGCTTTCTCCAGGCTGTAATTTGAAGGTGAGAAAGGGGATTTATGTCGTCGGACTCTGGGGTTCAGGCGGTTTAAAGGATGAGATCACTGGGTGGGCTGCACTTCTGCTCTGGGAGAGACTGGACCCCATGAGCCAGAGGCCACTCCCACTGCTGGTGTCCAGGTGTGCCCCTGGCCATC